ACTCTGTGTAGTCTGTGGCCACATTTAGAAAAGGGGTCACTATTTGCTTAACTCTCACCTACTTTGTCTCTCTTTGTATCTGCGATTGTTTCCAACATCAGGATCTTTCCTCCTGGTCGTCTGCTGATGAGCTGGACACGTCTGGCTCCCTCAGTCCTGTATCAGGAAGGAGTACTCCCAGTCACAGACGATCGGTAATGTTTATCTCTACCTGTACATGCTGCTATATGAGAACCAGGTGTTTGGAAACCCCTAAGACACATAGAGTAAATGCCCCAAATGCCCCAGTGAAGGCCAGATTCACCCCTGTCATCCCAAGATCTCTCCTCACGCTCTTCAAATCTTTCTCCACCTCCACAACCAGCGTTACGCTCCCTCCCTCTGGATTTTGAACTTTTTTCCAGCCTTTTGCTCTTCTTGCATGTTGTCAATCTCCAGACAGTCTCCTGAGATTTCCTCCTTTCTAACTTTTCTACTTCTTCCTTCCTTTTCTTGGCAGGCTTTTTAGCTCTGCCCAGTTTGTTTCTTTTTCTCTTCCAGTATTTCTGAAACCCTTTTCTTTTTCTCAGACTTCCCTTAAATTTCTTCTCACTGTAGATACGTTTCGATCCTCGTAGTATTATAGCTAGGATTACTGGCTATTGTGCAGCTGCTTAATTTCAAGTGTAGCATAGAACTTGTTGCTGGTTTAATGAGCAAGCATGGCATCAACAACAGCAATGAGAAAGCATTATTTTCTCATTATTCAACTGTACATCAGTCCAAATAAGCATGTCCCTGCTTATACTATGTGTATGTTACTAAATGTCCTTGTTCCAAAGAGATTCATGCATCACATTGCATAATTGTAACAGTCCCTTTATTGCACTCCCAAGCTGAAGCAATTCAAAGTAGTTGTGCACTGTGAAGAGCCAGATTCCTTATTATAACAGGTTACAAAATCAGTCACTTTCACGTATGATTTTGTTGCTGCTCTTCTTTCATTTTGGGTTTTCTTTTCATCAATAGCTTTGTCTTGATTTGCCTGGACTTAAACATACTTTCTTTCTTTTACCTCCCCCCCCCCTGTTCATTGCAAACAGCAACGGGGCAAATGTAGTCTGTCACAGCCTGGACCCTCTGTGAGCAGTCCACACCACAGGTACCTTTCTGTTGGTTTCTAGCACACCCAGAAGATAATGGAACTCAGCAGCCCATGATGCACTTGGAGATCAGTTGATTTCAGCTTTGAAATGAAACACTTAAGGAACAAATATTCAGAATTTCAGCTTTTAACGCTCGTGCCAGAATAGCAGCTCATGATAATGAATTCCATCATCTTCTGTAAGTCTAGATGCTCTGTGTAGGCTAGGCGATCAGGTGAGTGGTAGCCCACGCATCCGAGACAGGAGTTTCACAAGGAAAGGTGCAAGGCCTCCTCTCTGCCAATGTCCTTGGCTGCTTAATATTGCTAACCAGAGGGCGTTTCTTATGAATAACACAAATATTTCTCTATATCTAACTTCCTCGCTGATACTGAGCGCACACACACACCCTTTTGCTCTCAAATTGCCGAGCCAGTAAATGTCTGCAATGAACAATGCAAAGGCCGCTCTCTTCCTCTCTTGCGCTGATTCTCTCTCTTGTGTGTTACATTTCTTTTCCCTCTGCTGCTGCTATCTCACTGAGTATCCACCATCTCCCCCCCCTCAGTCTGTCATCTGTGAGTCTTGCCTCTCAGGTCTCCATTTGGGAAATGGTAAAGGGGCACTTTCGGTAAAAACACAGGGCAGCTCGAGTCACTTTGTTCATGCATTCTGGGATTGAGGGAAAAATACATTTAGAGAGCAAAGCAGCCTTGATTTTTCTTAATTGAAATACATTCTGAATACTTTATTTTTTACAATACATACATATGTAAACCCCTATATTACTGCTTTCAACTGACCGTGTCTTCTAACTTTTTGAGGCTATAAGAAGACAGTATTACTGAGGGTGATGGTGACAGAAAAATGACACATTACTACTCATAGTATGACATTTTGTGAATTTGCTTATTTCCTTATGTTTCTTTTTTGGACGTGGAAGCAGTTGGAAACAGCCAGCGTGTCTGGCTCTTTCCTCCTCCTCCCAGTGTCCATGCTAAACTAGGCTCTGTCCCAGCTTCATCTTAACATCTTAATTCACAAAGGGATTTCAGTCATCTCATCTAACTCTAAATCTAGAAAGTGAACTGGATTTCCCAAACTGTTGATTTAAGAAAACGCAGCTAACTACCAGGGTCAAAGATGCTGTTTCTAATTGCCGTGCTCTTCCCGCCTCCGTTTGCTTTGCATTTTTTAACAGGACACAAACTTTCAAAGACTCCATTGTTATATGAATAAAAAGAGTATTCTCAAATTCAGCTGTTACTTGCAGCATGCCGTTTGCCTTTTACTCTAACGCCTTTTGCAAAGAAATGCAAGCTCTCGTATTAAATGTCTTTGTCTGGCACAGGATTGCAGAATGTATGCCGTGAAAACTGTTTTGTGACCGTATTCGTACTTGTGTTGATCCACCCCAGTCTCAGTCAGCATGTAGATCACAATGTTAAACATTGTCTAACATTGCTTTACACTGTGTTGGCAATGTCTTTCAAACACAGCATGGTGCTTACATCCACTGTCGCTGGACTGAGATCTTATTTGGATTGAAACTATGCAGACAACATTAAAACAGTTAAGAGTGGGGAGAGAAGGATATTAAATTAGGATAATTTTTAAAGGGAAGTTTGTTTATTGGATTAGACTAATTTGATTTGTTTGTAATTTTTACTATTTCTGTAGCAAAGAGAAGCAGTTTTGTACATGTAAGATTGGTTTATTATATTGCCGTGGAAGTACAACAGTGTTTCCAACAAAGACGGGAGTATGTGCAAAATGTAAATAAAATAAAAATGCAATGATCATTTAAACTCAATTATATTTAATATAAAGAAATCAAATGATGAAATGCATGTAAATTGATTTTTAAAATTCGGTTCTATGTTTTTATATATGTTCAGTCAATTTTGAAAGCAGCCCCATGTTTCAAATTGGTGGTGCAGGGCATGTTTATAATTGTGATCAAGAGTTTTTAGTGAGTATCACCCAAACTGTCTCTACTACAGAGACTGTGGTTTTGCTAAAATAAACAAGGCTAGCTGATATCTAGATGGCAGCATGTGTTGCTTCAAAACCTGCATTTATCTTTTTTCATTTATCCTGTATCTTTCTTCACAGATGGTCAAGTTATAAAAGCTACATCTACTGTTATTATCATATAATAGATGTTGGCTCATGTTCTCTTTATGCCAAAGGACCAACTATCCATCATTTCCATGAAGAAATTCAGACTTTGATTGGTTAGACTATAGTATAAGTTACAATTTAAAGAACTCTGTTCCAGCATGTTACATGTTTTGGATGGAAGCTTGTTTCTGTCACTGAAAAAAATCATTTCAGAGTCAAAAGCTCGAGTTATTGTCTGAAACTTCGACTGATTAACGCAAGCTTGAAATTAAGAAAAGTAACTGGAAATTTAGACATAGGTCTGCCAATTCTTTTAATTAATAAAAAAAAAACCTTTAATTGATAATTAATTTAGGTTGGGTTTAAATGATTTAAAATCCATTGCATTCTGCTTTTATATACATTCAGGCCACAGTCTTTTTGGAAACACATTTGCAGTAGTGCAGATGAGAAGGAGATTTTAAAAGTCTATAATCCATAGTTGTGTTTGACTAATCCTGTTTTTGCTGGGCTGTGAATGTTTGTGTTTGTGTGAGCAGGCCTCACAGCGACGCTGGATCCGCTTCCTTCCCTTCTGACTCGGAGACACGATCATCTCGTAGGTCCTCGTTTCTGTGGCGCGTCTTCTGGGTCGCACTGCCTCTCCAGCTCTTCCTGCTCCTGTTAGTGGTTTTTGCCTTTCTGCTGCCAATGTCTGAGGAGGACTACTGTGCTCAGTCCAACAACTTTGCTCATTCCTTCTACCCGATGCTGAGCTACACCAACGGACCGCCTCCAGTGTAGATGGACGTAAAAACCACTGATGTTTAGTATTCTTGAGCCAGAATGACCTTAGTGGGATTCATGTTGATATCCTTGAAACGGTTAATCACGTTGGGAGCAAAAACAAATCCTGCTCGTCCATTTTTACTGCAGAATAACAGCTGCCATCTACAGTTAATATCTTTGTGTGTAGCACATAGGATCAAGCATCTCACTATGTTACTCTGTGTAATGCTGTGTCAGTTAATTTGCATTTTTGGTGTAACGGATCTGGAGGTTTCTGCCCACAGTGGACATCTGCTGGATAAACGGCGTGTCGACTCAGTGGTGTAAACATGACGTAACTTCTCTCAAGCCGATAGCACCAAAGTTAAACGCTGAAATATAGCCTGTGAATTTGCTTGTAACTAAAAGTTTGTAAACAGCAAAAACATTTAATATATCTTACATTGCAATTATTTTTTTACCTGTATTTTGGCATGCAGTTTTAATCTTTGCTTTTACTTACTTACATCCATCGTTGTGTCTGTGGTAATCGGTCCATTTTTAACTTGAACCACATGGATTCATGCAAGAGTCATTTAAGCCAAGTCAAGTGAATTTAATATCCAAGTCAGACGCAACGCAGGAGTTTAACCTTTAACAGTCATCCATGGTCTTTATACATTCTGCTGTTTTATTTTTTCAGGATATGAAATATGTCTTTAAGATTGAGAAATATGACCAATAGAATTATTGCATATTTTATAAGACTGTGAGTTCAGTATCAAATGTATAACAGTCGAGAGTTATTTAACATATGTATATAATGCAAAAAGAAATAATATGAGAAATGTATGTATATGCGACTCTCAAAAACAATGAATGCCAAACCTTCATTCTAAAAGTTGTCATTTTATTTGTGAGTTAGCATTTTTAATATTTCACCCTTTGTGCATCATACTTATATTGATCTTCCCATGAAAACACAAATATAAAAGAAAACTTTTAAATTGTTATTTTATGTTTCAAAAGTAATTAATATCTCTACTATTTCTCAACATTTCAACTTATTTTTGGTATGAATGGAGTGAATACATTTTAAGTTTCGTGAGATCTGCAGGTGGTAACATACAGGTTGGAGCCATCGGATAGTTCTTGGACTTGTTGCAGGTGAGGTCTCTGGTGAGTCGAGTAGTGCCGAGGTATGTTAGCATGATGATGAAGGTGGTGACGGTGACAGTGGCCATGAAGAAGGGTTTCAAGTAATTTGATGATTTCATAATTTGGAAGAGCCAACGCTGTGGCATCCAGGCCCAACGTTTGAGAAACCAGCATGCGGAAATCCACCAACTGAAAAAAGAAACTTACCTGGTTCAAAAGTTTTCAGAAATCTTGTGACCTTTCCTTTATTTATATTAACAAACAACATTAAATGAGCTCTATGACCGCTAACAAACATCTGCTGTGCAAGGTCATGAGATGTGGATGAAAGCATGGTAAACAAGTTTTCCTATTTGTCGTTTGACTCTTACCTCTCTCTGCCTCTGAGACAGCTGAGCAAGGCTCTGTCTGAGGGTGAGGAGTTCCTGTAGGTCGTCTCTTGTCTTCTTCTCTTGGCTTTGCAGGTCTGAGCTAACTGCGCTCAGCTTTTTCTCCACCTTTGCCTTCTCATCCGCCACCAGATTCAGCTTCTTTTTCTGCTCCTGCATGGTCTGAGTCTGTTGCGCGACTTTCAGCTTGGCATTTTAGGCACAGCAGAGACTCGAGTGAGCGTCGGGTTTTAGTAAAACAAGAGTGACTTTATTTAATTATGTCAAATTATTAATCTAAGATACTCTGATACTTTGAAAGCATGCATTGATTGCATATGCATATGATTCAATGACCCACCAACCCATGCCCCAAAATTAACACAAATACACAAAACATTATGAAGTGAAAATCCCTCTGGAGTGAATTTGGGCCCAAACCCTTCTCCCCTCTACCTTGAGCTCGCTGGTATGGGAGAGCTGGGCCTTGAGCTCAGTGTTGGAAAGTTTGGTTGCTTTCAGTTCACTTTGAAGACACTCCAGTTTTTTCTGCAGCCTCGCAGCCTGCAGTTGTGCATCATTTTGTTCCGCAGCCAATGCTGATCGGGTCTTCTTCTCCTCCTCCAGCTCTGAAACCTTTTTCCTCAGTAGTTGGATGTGGAGTCCTTTGCTCTCTATTTGTTCCTTCTGTGATTTCAACTACAGGGAATGGGAATATTTTAAATCAACTGTATACATTTTTTTAAGCTGCGTTTGTGCATTTAGAGGTAAATTATCTGCTTGTTCAGCACCACTCTCCACTTGTATAAACTTGTGAATGATAAAAACAAAAAACAAACAAAAAAACTACCTTCCGTTGTAAGCTGTAAGTCAGACTTTTACTCTCAACTAAAGCAGTTCCCTCTTGTCTAACAAGTTGTTCGGCACGTGACAGAATGAATTTTAGCTTCATTTCGAAGTCAAGATCAATGTCAAAGTCCTCAACCTTCATCGTCTTGGACAGCTGCTCCAAGAATTCCTCATACTGTTAAAAAAAAGAGACAAATCATAGGAATGTGTCGCTATACCAACCTGTATCTGTAACTTATATGCTTAGTCACATGACTTTACTCACATCCTGTTTGCTGTGTTGCAATCGGTCACAATGCATGTCTGCTGTCAGCAGTTCGGCCTCCAGACATTGCAGTCTTCCCCTCAGGTCTTGGACTTGCTGCTCTGCAAGCTGAGCCCTCTGTTGTGCAATGTGATGAAGCTCTGTCTGCTCACTCAGCTTTTCAGAAACACAACACAGCCTCATTTCCACCTCTGGCAAGCTCTGAAAGACCAGCATAGTGAAAATGTGTGGTAACATAAACTATTGTGTGCACACTCCTTTTTATCTTACAGCTGGACTAAGTCCTTGACAGATGGAACAGGAAGAGTTAACATAAAGATACAAGTAACTGCATCAATTGCTGTGCTTTGGGACATATTCTTCTACTTTACAGAGTTATCCAGTCGATGTAGTTATTAGTCTGCAAATTAAAATAAAAAAAATATTTAGCTGTATTGCAAGTATTGAGATTAAAGTGCTACCTGCATGCTTATTGGTAAAAAAAAAAAATCAACCAGTATGTTTCATTTTACACAAGTAACTGATCATTCATGACATATAGCGATTAACAAAAAGTAATCCTAATAGCTAAAATACAATGTGATTTATAATTGTCAGCAAATGTGTTGTTTGGCTGGAGCCACATTTGCACCTTGGAGAACAAATTTAGCTTTAAAGCAGCTTTTAAGCATTTTTTGTTGGAAATCCCAACGTTCCTCACCTTATTGCAGAGGTTATCCAGTGTCTGTAGAACATCTCTCTCCGTGGGCAGGATGACGTCCTCACACCTCTTCTCCAGGAGGCCGACCAACGTTTCCAAGAATGCCTGCAGCTTGCTCTCAGCTTCTTGGATCCTTCTTTCAAGCTCCTCCACCTGGTTCTCCAGACAGTGTGACTCTCGCCTGGCTGCCTCTATTACTCTCTTACTGGCCTCAAGTCTTTCAGTTAGGGTCTGCTTCTCCATCTCGACACTTCTTCTCCCAACAGCCAGACCATCAAGCTCCTAAATGACATACAAACACCACAACAATAGGGCAATTTTAGCAGTTACTCCTAAAGTAATAAAATCTTTAAATTAACAATTTCGTACAGAAGTCAGTAGTTTTTACACAACGCTACTAAATCCTTTAGTTCGTGGGTTAAGCCATCCAGACATGTGAAATCTTGTACTGTAAAGTAACTACTCTTTTAAGTTGTGTATATACCACTTTGAGTGAATCAAGTGCTGCTACACTGCTTGCAGCCTTCCTCCTCTCTTGGTCCAGCTCTGCCACCAGCCTCAGCACCGTCTCTCTGCTGGCTTTGCACTCCACCTCACTGGACTTCACACTCTCTTCTAAAACAGCAACCCTCATCTTCAGCCTCTCCTTCTCATTGCACTGTTAATTACAGAGGTTGAAGAAAGGTACTAAATAGTTATTAAATGTTTTTTTTAATCTATTTTTAAAAGTTGCCAACATAGGAATCAATTTAGTTTTTTCCTCCGCTATGACTGAATTCAGTAGACATTTAAAATATTTTAAGGCCTACCTCGTTAGAGTTTTCCATAACTCCAAATAAGAGAGGTGAGAAGTGAACTTTAAGTAGATGTTGCCTCTGTTTTAAGAAGTCTCCTGGCAACAGCAAACACAGGCTCAGTCAGAAGGGGGCGATGTAGCTGAGCCTGTCAGGCATCAACTCGTTTATCAAGTTGGTGGAATTTTATTTTATTTTATTTTATTTTATTTTATTTTATTTTATTTTAGTTTATTTTAGTTTATTTTAGTTTATTTTAGTTTAGAAAAATTGATTTCTTAATTTATATAGTAACATAAAAAAAATCCAAAGTCACGCTGAACGTGCAACAATGTGAAGGTCATTCCATGAGCACCACGTTAGCCCTGAGTTTAGACTGTCAGGTAGCCCTTCTGCTCAATCCCAGTATGAGCTTCACTTACCGGACATTTTCCACTCATAAACTGATCGAGTTTGTCTAAATATAAACGACTGAGTATTTTTAAGGTACTTCCTGCTGTGTTTTGAAGTTTTAGTAAGTAATATAGTTCAGCTTAAAATGGAAACGCTCTACCTTCAAGTCAGAGCTGAGAGCTTAATGTGACTACTTGTATTGCGTCACTTCGAGCAGGAAACAAGCGACGAGGAACAAACACGCCGCCTTTGAATGTATGCAAGACTGTAAACACTGAAGGTAGCTGGAATTTGTGAATTAATTTAACACCGTATTTTGTTTTTTCTAACCTGGTAAGCGAAGAAACGGACGTTTTCTACTCACTGAATTGTCTGCGGCTGGCATGTATACAGAAGTTAGCTCCAGGCATGGAGCCGCAGTACTGCTGAATGTATTATCCTAATTAGTTTGCAGGATATACGAGTGTTTTGCTTGCTGATGCACTTTTGATTCCTGTTGTTGTCTATACTTTAGATTTAACGTGTAACAATATAACTATACGTCCATTAGCTAAGTTGATCTGTTTGTTTAACATAGTTCTGTGCTTCCAGTCACCTAAAGGCACTTTCCTTTGGCAGCAGGTTATTTGTAGGTGAGTGTGAATGGAAGATGCTTCTCCGGACGTTGTGGTCCAGACTGGGAGCCCAGCTGCATGCAGGGAGCAGATCAGGCTGCGTTTTAACTTCGGCCAGGACTCACTGTGCTCCGTGGAGCTTTTCCAGGACCTGCCATTTAAACTATATTCATCAGCAGCACGAGCAGAAAAGACATGTTTCTTTGCCTGCTTTGAGTGGATGTAAAAGTCTTAGCAGTGGGTTTTTGACTGACCCTGGGAGACTTTCAAACTGTGCAAGAGGACAAACAAGTTTGTATTCAACCAACCTCGTAAAGTCAGTGTTGAAACCAGGTTTGAAACCAGCCACAGTGCCTGGGAAGAGGGCACCCAAGGGACCACGGACGAAGCAGCCGTCCAGAGCCAACCAGCCTTCCCTCAGTGAAGACAAGGTGATTTACCCTTTAGTGTAGTGAAATGTTTTATTTAGCTGCACCTGGTATTGTTTTATGTGTTGATTCAATTGTTTGTCTCCATAGGATATGATGCAGTGCATTGCTTTTGCAACAGCAGATCAGTATCATTTGCCAACACTTTCTCACGACTTGATAAACCACGGCTTCCATGAGATAGATTTGCCCAGAGGTATGAGTGAAAAGGTCATACAGCTGTGCATTAGATTATTAGTGATGGCTTTCATGATCGTCGTGTTTTTATTTTCAGATGCCTCGAATGTTCTGGTGATAAGCACAGACATGGCTGCAAAACCAGATGATAATGCACAAATCTTCTTCTTCAGGTAATGCTGATGCGCTTTGGTTTAGACTTTGTCTCCAATGGTATTATTTTGTTGTAGAAAGGTCAGTTCTGTTCAAACATTGTCAAAAATATGGCTTAATTTGAGGATTATTGATAATTGGTTTGGTCAGTACTCGGTGATACAGGCGTACCTTGGCTTTCCTGTATGCCTATATCAGTGATCTATTTCTCAGCATCAGATGCACACACAAATCTAAACATGCAATTGCTGAGATTGTCGATTGGATTACACAAGGCTAATCAGTGGTGGCTTTTAAAATTGTTGATGCTCTTGCCACGTGAGGCCAGGCCCCACTGCATTGTGTCTAAGCAGTCAGGGAGGGCTGTGAAGGTCTATGTAATCCTCCAAGGATATGCCTCCTCAGACAATCACTGACCTCCTGCTAAACCATTCATGCTGGATGTTGCATGCAGCATAACGTTCGCCACAGCATCTCCAGACTCTTACCTGCCACATATGCTCAGTGTGAATTTGCTCTCATCTGTAAAGAGAATGCAGCCCCACTGATGGACCTTTTGGTTTTGTTGATCACTAGTGAATGCTATTCGATCTGCATGTTGCTGGTATGTGAACACAGGTCCCACTGATGGATGTCAGCCCCTCATGCCGCCCTCATGGAGTCTGTTTCTGACAGTTTGATCTAAAACATGCACATGAGGTTTTGTAGGCCACCTCCCGTTCTTCCTCTCACAAAGGAGCAGATACTGGTCCTGCTGCTGTGGTATCTCCCTGTGGTATCTCCACCACACTCTTGAGATTGTGCTGAGAGGCACAAACTTTGTTGCCATGGCACGTGTGGATTTGCCATCCTGGAGGAGTTGGACTATTTGTGCAACCTGGCTGAGATGGTGATAGTGTCTCATGTTACTAGTGGTAGCAAGGACAAGGAGATAGAAACGGTCTGTGGCAACCATTCCCTTTTTGGGGGGTTGTCTTGTTGTTGTCTTCCCCTGCACCTGTTGTCCCTTTGATTTGCACCAGAGCAGGTGAAACTGAGTCTTAATAGTTTATGCTTTCTAACTTACAGGTTGCTATCCCTGAAGTTTAGCTGACTTTTTTGTTATACGCTGACAATCAAGCATTCCTTTAGCATTTTTCAGCAGTGTAGTTACTAATACTTCTTTAGTACAGCTGCTTTTTTCTTTGGCCCCATAATGCCTGATCTCAGTCTAAAGTTTCTAAGTTTAAAAGTTGTTTTGTTCAGCTAGAGTTTTTGTTTGACTGCTTGCCTCATGATTACCTTGAACTGATAGTTTGTTTTGTAACATGAGAGGAAGGGCTAAACACTGACTTGTTCCACTTTCTAAATTTTTAGAGAAGGCTCAGTAGTTTTCTGGAATGTCGAGGAGAAAACGGTAAGCAAACATCACCATTAATGCAGTTAATCTAATTTCCAGTTCACTTTTCTACTATACTATTGTTAAACTCTGTAATTTCCCCTCGGTCTTTACAGATGAAAAACATTTTGAGAATCCTGGAACACCATGAGATCCAGCCTTATGAAGTAGCGTTAGTCCACTGGGAAAATGAGGAGATTAACTACACTGTGGGAGAGTACGATGAGCCTCAAGCTTTGTTTTGTTAGTACTTTCAGACTCTGTAACGTTTCTAAACAGACACTTTTTTCCACCTCAGGGGAAATACAAAGCTTGAGCGTGGCAACTTTATTCTGAGTGACGATATGGATCAAGAGGAAGCTGTTTTGGAGAAATTTGCATTTTCAAATGCACTTTGTTTGTCTGGTGAGAAGCTGTATTTCCAGTCTGAATCATAAAAAATGTATTTGTTTCCTGTGAACACTGCTAATCTTTTCTCTTTGCTTTCTTTTCCAGTGAAGTTGGCAATATGGGAGGTAGCATTAGACAACTTTGTAGAGTCCATTCAATCAATTCCAGAGGTACAGTGGACAATTAACAGCAAGAATGAATAATTGATTATTTATAATGGTTGTTTGTGTGTTAGGAGATGCACGTGGCATTAGCATTTTTCTAAAATGCTAATGCCAGCATGCTAATTTTTTTTTCCTTTCCCACCCAGACACTCAAGTCTGGGAAAAGAGTCAAGTTGTCCTCTGCAGAGGTTATGCAGAAGATAGGAGAGCTTTTCACATTAAGGTAAATTCAGGAAAGTACATCCTTTCTATTTTTGTATTCACTATTTATGAGCAAGTAATACACCTTGAGTTTTGTGTAATTATACATGTTATTTCTAAATGCAAAAACTGCTGTTTGTTTGCTTTTCTAGTATTACCGTACTTTAGTATTTTTATTTACACTCTGCTTTGACAGACACTGTATAAACCTGAGATCTGACCTTCTCCTCACGCCTGATTTCTACTGGGACAGAGAAAACCTAGAAAAACTCTACGATAAGACGTGCCAGTTCCTCAGCATCAACCGCAGAGTCAATGTAAAGGATAAACTATCGCTGCTGGGTCTTTGTGTTAACACTCAATCATTTTTTTTGCCCATGTAGCTTCATAATCTATCTCATTTTAGGTTGTGAATGAGAAGCTGGAACATTGCACGCAGCTGACAGACTTGATGAGGAGCCACCTGAGTGAGAAGCACAGCTTGAGGTTGGAGTGGATGATAGTCATCCTGATTACGATTGAGGTAAAAGAGCTCAAGCAAGAAGCCTCAAAGAATGCAGCATTTTTAAAACAAACCTTTATTCATGCTTTAAAAAAAACAGGGAGATGTTTAATAATGAGTGCATCTCATTTGTTTCTCTTGTAGGTTATGTTTGAACTCGCAAAAATGATCTTCTAAATTGCTGCTCTGAAGCTACAACAACTCTAAAAAGGGCACAAGCAGCTATGAAAGAAGAATGCTGCACTGTGCGAAGGCACTGAGTCATGAAGGGGACCTAGATCACGCTGAATGTATTTACTCTTCATGTGTTACATCAGCAACTTTCTGAAAACCATGAATTATTTTTAAATCAAGAATTTCACAAATTGTTACTGAGGATCTTGGCTGCGGGCGGGAGCAGTATTTTACACACATTTGTTCTTTATTACTGTGAAAAAAAACAAACAAAGAAAAATCAAAGTAGGCAAAAAAAGATTTTTAATCTTTTGTGATGATCTGACCTTTATGTTTTGGGACTTTTTTTGTCTTTATGTTCTTAATTTTCTTTTTACGTCATGAGAAAGCATCTATGTTTTCTTGTCAGTGTCAAAGATGCATTTTTAAAAGGTCTTATTTGCATGGGAAGGCAGGGACTCCCACACCTTGACACTGATCTTG